TGGACCATCCAACCAACCCCCTGCCAAGAAGCAGGAAAATCACATTCAAAGCACCCCCGACAGATGGTCATCCAGCCTCTGATTAAAAGCTTCCAAAGAAGGAGCCTCCACCACACTCTGGGGCAGAGAGTTCCACTGCTGAAAAGCTCTCACAGTTAGGAAGCCCAGCATACCTGTCTGAACGCATCTCCTTCTACATCCCACCTCGGAGTTTAAGATCCTCTGGGGAGGCCCTGCTCTTGGCCCCACCTCTATCACAAGTGAGATTGGTGGGGATGAGGAGCAGGGCCTTCTCGATGGTGGCCCCTCGCCTGTGGAACTCGCTTCCCAGGGAAATTAGGTCATCGACATCCCTCCTCTCTTTTAGAAGGAAACTAAAAACATGGATATGGGACCAGGCCTTTGGGTAATCTGGTAGACAGACAAAGGACAATGACAACTAGAATTGGATAGGATTATGACAATGCGGAATGAACTTACAGATTTTGAGCTTGGCGAACGTTGATCATTAGATTGGTTTTTATTAGCTATGATGTATAATTGGATTGTTTTAATTGTATTATAATTGTAATATTTTATCTTATTATCTGTATTGCTGGCATCGAATTGTGCCTTTTGTAAGCCGCTCTGAGTCCCTCCTCAGGGGTTGAGAAGGGCGAGGTAGAAATGTGCGAAATAAATAATAAATAATAAATCAGTTCTTCCTAATATTTAGGTGGAATCTCTTTTCCTGTAATTTGAGGCCATTGTTCCACATCCTAGTCTCCAGGCTGCAAACATATTACATCATTGATACCATGTAATATGTTTAGGAATGTGGTACTGGTCAGCCATCCCTCTACCCTATGATGTCTTGTGCCAATAATTTCATTTCAACTCTCTTTTTTGTTTTTTGTTTTGTTTTGTTTTTGTTTTCCTCCTGAAAAGGCATTAAATATTCCGTGGGTAATGTATATGTTCAGTCCTGACTGGGATGCTCCAGACAGTGTCTGTGTATTTGTGTGTCTTCTACCACCGCAGCAGTATTCCCCCTAAATATTTGTTCAGTCCTGCAAAAAGTAGATCTCCTCCAAGCATTCTTGCCCTTTCCTCCTATTTCTTTGTGGCTGAATTGCATTACAACTCTGGAGGCACAGTCTGTGTTTGCTATTAAGGGAAGTGATTGAAAATAATGGAATTAAAGAGATGACAGGAAAATGGGGCAGGAAGAAAGGCTTAATCTTACTTAGAACTAGGTAGGATACAAATGTCCTCTTCCCAACTCCTTTTTGTCAACATGTACAAATGGAAATTCCAGTCATGCAAAAGTTTTTTTTCACCCCCTGTACTAATGGGTTTAATGTTCATTGTTATCATGTAATATGTTTACGAATGTGGTACTGGTCAGCCATCCTATATGTTCAGTAGGTATTTTATCTGAATTCGAATTGAAGCAATGAATTATATCTATATCAGAAACTAAGTTAGAAGGTGTCATTGTGGCTTCAATAGATTGTCTATCACACCAAGCTCATTAAAACTATCTGCAGCATAATCCATGCTATTTCTTAGCACGGATAATGCTAATTTACTATTTAAATCTGATTCCAAAAGTTGCAACAGAAATGTGTGCAAATGGGGTCAACGGAATATGGGGTAAAATTCCTACTGAAATGATTCCATCTCAAGGCTTTCATTAAGAAATATTTTTGCCGATTAACTTGCTTTTTTTACATATAAAAACCAACAGTTTTCCAGCTTGCAACTGCACTGATTTTACTTTCATCAAGGTCTGGTTGTAAACGTTTAACAAAATGCTGAAATGGAAAATGACTTGTTTCCTGCTACTGACATATTTTAGAACAATGGTTTATAGCTGATTAACAACTTGATCTGACACATGAGTACATAAACTTAAGTTATTTTGCTAGTTTTCTGTTTTAGCAGTGTTATTAAAAGGGTAGATATATAGTGATATTTGAAAGGAACAGAAAATTAAAAAAAATCAACAGGTAGCAAGTGTGAGGTTTCCAGAGCAGTTCTTAGAATCATAGAATAGAATCATAGAGTTGGAAGAGACCTCATGTGCCATCCAATCCAACCCCCTGCCAAGAAGCAGGAATATTGCATTCAAATCACCCCCAACAGATGGCCACCCAGCCTGTCTAAAAGCTTCCAAAGAAGGAGCCTCTACCACACTCCGGGGCAGAGAGTTCCACTGCTGAACGGCTCTCATAGTCAGGAAGTTCTTCCTAATGTTCAGATGGAATCTCCTTTCTTGTAGTCTGAAGAACTACTGCTTATATGTTTAGTATGTTTTAATTGTGTGGGTTTGTACAGGTTAGGATGATTGTTTTAGATATAATTCTGTTAGTTGTAGTCTAGTTCTATATATCAAGAAAAACATTTTAGTTTTGTTTTGTCTTTATAGGGGATATTATTCTTCCGTTCTGAGACTGTGTGTGTGTGTGTGTGTGAAAGTAAAGGTTTTCCCCTGACATTAAGTCTAGTCATGTTTGACTCTGGGGATTGGTGCTCATCTCCATTTCTAAGCTGAACTGGCATTATCCGTAGACACCTCAAGGTCATGTGGCCAGCATGACAACATGGAGCATTGTTGCCTTCCCGCTGAAGTGGTACCTATTGATCTACTCACATTTGTATGTTTTTGAACCGCTAGGTTGGCAGAAGCTAGGGCTAACAGTGGGAGCTCACTCCACTCACCAGGTTCAAACCTCTGACCTTTTGGTCAGCAAGTTCAGCAGCTCAGCGGTTTAACCCACTGTGCCACCAGGGGCTCCCTATATATATATATATATATATATATATATATATATATATATGTTCATATTTTTGTATTTCTGTACTTTTGAATAATAATGTTTAAAAGAATCTTTTATTCCAGTAATACCTCATTGAAGATACAAAGATCTTGAGTTAGCAGCCTGAAACTACGAATTTTAATTCCAATTATTCATTCGGTGCAATATTAACATGCAATAACTGTAACTGTTGTCAAGAGAAGCCACTGAATGACAACAAGGAAACCACCCAGTGCAGATTCCTGTTGTCCAAAAGCCATTAAATGGGAATAGACTGGTTTACCAACAGATTCACAGTACATCTAACTAAAATGTAAGTCACTTGTGTAACTTAAAGTATGATCAACTTATAATTATGCTAAAGTACTAAACAAGTTTCAATTGGGCATCAAAAGGTTATAGTTTGCTATACTGAAACAGCACAGTCATCTGGCAAAGTGAGTCAGCATACAGAAATATGTCACTAGATTTCCGGAAAAGGAGGCAGGAAAGAAAAAGAAGGCAGGGAAAAACAACAATGTGATATGTGTATGGTACATGTTCCCACTCTTCTGAAAAAAAATGTGGCTATAATATCAAATATTCTTACTGGTGAATTACATGACTCTCTATTCCAAAATTTTCTGTCAATTTATAATATGTTCGCATAGATTTATTGCTACCAATAGAGAGGTGATAGATATACCTGAAGATACACAAACACACACACACACACGATATTCAGCAGAAGTGTAAATGAATGGGAAGTCCTGAAATCCTTTGTTGATGCTCTAGTTCTGCATTCATTGTGATTATTTAACTGTGTTGTCGAAGGATTTCATGGCTAGAATCACTGCGTTGCTGTGAATTTTCCAGTCTGTATGGCCATGTTCCAGAAGCATTCTCTCCTGACGTTCAGTGCTAATCAAGGTGGCCAATAGCAACATTCACACATGCCTCCAACAGACAAGAGCTCTTTGTCCCACCCTGGACATTTCAGAGATAAATAAACCCCACTTCTATAGTTTTCAACAGACCTCACAACCCTCTGAGGATGCCTGCCATAGATGCAGGCGTAACGTCAGGAGAGAATGCTTCTGAAACATTTATTTATTTATTTATGATATTTATCTCGCCCTGATCACCTCCAAAGGGACTCAGAGTGGCTTACAAGTTATATGTACATACAATATATATTATTATCATAGCACAATATTAGCATTATATGTTACTATATTGTACTATACCACTACACTGCAATATTATTAGCAATATTACATGTAATATAAAATATATAATTATTATATTATTATACTAGCTGTACCCACCACGTGTTGCTGTGGCCAGCCTTCCCTCCCTCTTTCTCTCCTCCTTTCTTTCTTTCCTTCCCTCCCTCCCTCTTCCATCCTTCCCTTCTCTCCTTCCTTCCCTTCCTCTTTACTTCCCTCTTTTTCTTTCCCTTCTTCTTTCTTCCTTCTCTATTTCTTTTCTCACTTCCTTTGCTCTTTGGTTCCATCCTTCCTTGTCTCTTTCCTTCCTTCCCTCCCTCTTTCTCTCTTTTGTTCCTTCTCTCCTTCCTTCCCACTTTCACTTTATTTCCTTCTCTCCTTCCCTCCTTTCCCTCTTTCTCTCCCTCCTTTTCTCCTTCATCCTTCCTTCCTTCCCCCTTTTTGTGTATGTGTTTTGTGTGTGCATATATGTGTATATATATTTCTGTATATATTTGTGTATATGAGTATATATGTGTCTTTGCGTACATATGTGGTTTTGTGCAAGAATTGTAATGTATTTTTTGCTTTTTGGCTTTTTAAGTCTCTTATGCTGTATTTTTCAGTGTTTTCATGAGTGATGGTCACTCATTGGCCTGATAGGTGTATTGTGTCCAAATTTCGTGTCAATTTGTCCTGTGGTTTTTGAGTTATGTTAATCCCGCAAATGGATATTATGTTTTTATTTATATAGATATTGCATTATTGTTAGCATTATATTGTTTACAATTTTATGATCAACATGGCGATACAGCTCAGAAAACTCACAGCAACCTATATTTAACTGGCTTGATTCAGGTTATTTAAGCTCCTATTTCTTAAACTGTAGGTTCTGATTTGTATACCATTTTATATACTTATATATCTGGGGTCCCATATAAATATCTCAGGTGGAAAGGGGTCACAAGTGGGAAAGGTTTAAGAATTCCTGATTGAAGCAACCTCACCTCACCTCATTTGGAGTGATAGGCTCACTCTTAAATACAATCAGATTTTGGGAGCTCTGTCCACTCTGTCCGGTCAGATGTCTGTCAGGCAGCACAGCCCCTGGGTGGATTCCTGTCGGGATCCCCGTATTGTAAAACATGAAAGAGTCACTACCTGAACCTGCAGTCAAGCAGGCTTTATAGCAGTAAGTCTTGGAAAGAGACCCATTGCCCCGTACTTCAACAAAATGAGGCTGAATGTTCAAACCAGTCGGCAATGTGGCATCAAGATGGTCATTGGCTTGTTTGTACATTTCAACCGGGTACCTTTCTCGGCGAGTCCCACAGAAACCCCCACAATAGGTCTTGCCATGCAGACTGTCTTTGTGGCACTTTATCACAGCAAGGACAACAACTGTCAGGAGAAATATAAATGAAACTGAGCTCAGAGCAACAATCAGATAAAGAGTGATCTCCGAGTAACTTCTGGAACTTCTTATGTGCCTCCTAGTGTTAGGGATTATTTGAGAGATCCGGTCTACAACAGCAATGTATATGGACACAGAGGAAGACAGGGCTGGCTCTCCATTGTCCCTCACTCCGATGGTAAGGTTGAAGGTGGCTGCACTGTCCTCACCTAGTTTTCGGGTAGTTCTAACTTCCCCGCTGTGAACTTCCACGCTAAAGAAGCCTGGAGCTGAGGCCTGGGCCAAGTGGAAGAACAGCCAAGCATTCTGCCCAGAGTCTGCATCAATGGCGATGATTTTGGTGACCAAGTATCCGGCGTGGGCCGAGCGAGGAATCATCTCCACTGCAATGGAGGCATTGCCTGAGGTAGGATACAGAATCTGTGGTGCATGGTCATTCTGGTCCACCACATAGATGTGCACAGTGGCTGTGCTACTGAGAGGTGGCACCCCTGAGTCTTGGGCCTGGACGACAACTTGAAATTCCCTCAGCTTTTCATAATCAAAGGAACCCACGGCGTAAAGGTCACCAGTATCAGATTTAATGGAGACGAAGGCAACGACAGGGAGTCCTTGGATCTCTCCATTCAGCAGGGAGTAGGAAATGTGGGCATTTTCATTTGCATCGGGGTCCACGGCCTTGGCAGTGCACAGAGCAACTCCTGGAGCATTGTTCTCAGGGACATAAACAGAGTAAGTAGGTTCCTCAAACCGTGGTGGGTTGTCATTGAGATCAGAGATGTCCACTTGGACAACTCTGTGGGAAGATAGAGGCGGAACCCCTGCATCGGTGGCAGTAATTGTAATGTTGTAGCTTGAGGTCCTCTCCCGGTCGAGAAGCTCCTGCGTGACCAAAGTGTAGGAGTTTTTGAAGGCGTTCAGCCTGAAAGGGAGGTCTGATGGGATGCTCAAGGTGACTTGCCCATTGGGGCCAGAGTCCCTATCTGTGACGCTCATCAAGGCCACCACGGTGCCCGGTGGGGCATCCTCCGGGACGGGGCTGTACAAAGACGTCAGCGCCACCTCAGGGGCATTGTCATTGGCATCCAAGACCGTCACCAGGACTTTGCAGTGCCCCGCCATAGGCACGGGACCCCGATCGGTGGCTTGGACATAGATCTCGTAGGAGGCGGCTTCTTCGTAGTCCAAGGTGCCGTTGACGGTCACCTCTCCGGAGACCGGGTCCACACTGAAGAGGCGCCGCACTTCTGGTGGAGTGTATCCACTGAAGGAGTACTCCACCTCCCCATTGGCGCCTTCGTCGGCGTCGGAAGCGTTGACCCGTGCCACCAACGTCCCGGGGGCAGCGTTCTCAAGAAGCGTGGCTGTGTAGGTGCCCCGCTCAAAGGTGGGAGCGTTGTCGTTGGTGTCCAAAACCCGCACCAAGATCTGGGCTACTGCTGAGCGAGGTGGGTGCCCCCCGTCGAAGGCAGTGAGCTCCAGACGCAGCTGGGAGGCCTGCTCACGGTCCAGAGGTTGGAGCAGCACCAGCTCCAGGAGTGAACTGCTACTGCTGCTGCTTCCTCGCTGCTCAAAGTCGCGTAGGTCTAAGCCAAAGGGCTGACTTGGGCGGAGGCGGTACCCGCGGACGGTGTTCTCCCCGAGGTCCGGGTCGCGCGCGCCCTCGATGGGGAAGCGGGCCCCCGGCAGGGCTGACTCACTGACTTCCAGGTGGTACTCAGGCCGCGGGAAGCGGGGCGCGTGGTCGTTGAGGTCGCGCAGCTCCACCTCCAGCGCGTGGACCTCCACGGGGCGCTCCAGCACCAGCTCCAGGCCCAGCAGGCAAGGCACAGAAGGCGAGGAAGACTCGCACAGCGCCTCCCGATCTAGCCGCTCCGCCACCACCAGCAGCCCGCGGGACACATCCAAAGCTAGGAAGCGCCGGCCGCTGCCCGAGGTCAGCCGCGCCCCGCGGGAGGCCAAAAGCCCCGGCTCCAGGCCTAGGTCCGCCGCTACGTCGCCCACCACCGCGCCCCGGGGACGCTCCTCCTCCACCGCGTAGCGCAGTTGCCCCGAGAGCAGAGGCAACCACAAGAGCAGCAGGAAGAGCCGGGGTCCCTGCACTGGGGGGCCCTGCGCTCGGGGGCCCGGCGGCGTCATGGAGGCAGGCGGGAGACCATGCGAGCGGGCTGCGAGGCCGAGGCGCCTCTCATCCCTCTCTCTTCCTCCTCTTCCTCCTCCTCTTGGCCCTTCCTTCCCCGGCGGCTGACGCGGCTGCTCCTGCTTGGGAGGGGTTGGCTCCGTTTCAGCACCTGGGATGGGGACAGCGACTTCTGGGCCGGCCGCCAAGGGCAGCAGGCGAAGCAAGGGGCCAAAGGGGAGGGCCGGGCTTGGAGGCACTCCCTTAGAGTCTCTGCCCCAACTCGGCTCTTCCTCTTCCTCTCTCTTCCAAACACTGCTTCGTCAGAGCTCCAAATGTCAGCGAAAAGGAGACCTGTTGCTTCTGCCAGTCACCCGCTGGGCGGGGCAACTCAGCTTCCAAGCCAGTCCAAGCAAGAAGAGCCTCTGCTCGGCAAACGCCACCTCTCCTATTGGCCTCCCCTGAGCTCTGCTTGGAGAGGACTCAGCTTTGATACTCCTTCTCTGCCACCCTCCCTCCTTTTCTCTCTGTTAAGCTTTGGGTCCCCAAACTGTGCCCTTCCCCTTCACTAGCAGAAGCTTTCCATCTCAACCTGTGGGTCCCCAGATGGGTTGTTGTGAGTTTTCTGGGCAGTATGCAGAGGAGGCCCTAGGTAATTTTCAACGGTAAGCAAACAGTATTCCCCCCCCCCCCAAACCAATCACTGATATATATTTTCTGTTTGTCTGGGAGTTCTGTGTTCCATATTTGGTTCAATTCCATCAGTGGTGGAGTTCAGAATGCTCTTTGATTGTATACATCCCCAGTAACTACAACTCGCCTATGTCAAGGTCTATTTTCCCCCAAGAGCGCCTCAAGAGCGCCCCTGGGCAGAATCAACTATACTGCAAATGCTTACTTTGCGTAATGGGTTGAGCCACCCCTGACTGTATGGCCATGTTCCAGAAGCATTCTCTCCTGACGTTTCATCTGCATCTATGGCAGGCATCTTCAGAGGCTGTGAGGGGAGAGCCCCCGGTGGCGCAGTGGGTTAAACCCCTGTGCCGGCAGGACTGAAGACTGACAGGTTGCAGGTTCAAATCCGGGGAGAGGCGGATGAGCTCCCTCTATCAGCTCCAGCTCCTCATGCGGGGACATGAGAGAAGCCTCCCACAAGGATGATAAAAACATCAAAATCATCCAGGCGTCCCCTGGGCAACGTCCTTGCAGACGGCCAATTCTCTCACACCAGAAGTGACTTGCAGTTTCTCAAGTCGCTCCTGACACAAACCCAAAAAAATAACAATGGATGAAAATGTGGAACCTCACAAACTGAAGTAATGTCCAATACATCCCATAGCTATTCTCTATCAAATTTGGATCCCTTATGGAACATTTCAAAATAGATTTCCATATTCCCCCTGCCCTACTAATTTTACACATGTTTTCATGTTTAGGTAAGTTAGGGGCAGAGCATGGAATGAATTATCTTATATGGAAATGTGTATATGAATGACAATGCTGCAAAGCTAACAGTATATACACTGGGTTTAAAACTGTATATAGTTTAGATCAAAGATCCATTGTAAGAAATACATAATCACTAGAAGAAGAAACACAGGGAAAAATAATTCCATTAACACATACTCTAATGACTTATGCCATAGTTGATACATGTTTTGAGATGGGAAGCCTTTACATCTGTTTATGTATTGTCTGTTCTTGTTAATTGTATAACAGCACTGAATGCTTGCCGTATATGTGTTCTGTAATCCACCCTGAGTCCACTTGGGGAGATAAGAGTGGAATATAAATAAAGTGTTGTTGTTGTTATTATTATTATTATTATTATTATTATTATTATTATTAAGAGGCACTTTCCTCCTCCTAATAATAATAATAATAATAATTATTATTATTATTATTATTATTATTATTATTATTATTATAAGGGGAGTGAGGAAGACATGTGGAACCCTTAAGCATATGTATTGTTATACAGAATATACTAATGCTAGCAATGATTTCGTGCATGTTTCATATCAATACAGTGTGACTTGTTTCTCACTCAGATTATAAAACAGCAACTGGATTCAGGTTGCATTTTGTTCAGTTCCCTAACTGAATGCTCTCACATTAAAAACATGGCAATATAACCTCCATATAGCACATAAAGGGGAAATGAGCAGTCTAGCCTTTCCCTGACATTTACTTTTCTCACTATGTGTCCTGTTTTATCTGGAGAGGCGATATATGTTTACCCAAATCTCACCTGTAATACAGCCCAGGCAGAGAATTACAACCAAAGGAAACATTAGAACTAGGCATATGTTTTTTCCCCCATTTGCTGCTGAAACCAAACAGAACCAGAATGTTTCAGGAGAATCAACATGAAAAACCATAAAATATATATTGTTATTGTTTCTTTTAGATGGATATTTTATTACTCTGAACATACTGTAAGTCATTTTGTTAAGGAGCTATCCTAAAAACCCTAGGTACAGATACACCGAAAAAGTAAACAGATAACATGCTTGGAGGTGAATAAGGCTCTTTATAGCAGCCGAGACTGTGGATTTGCCTGGTGCTGTATAGAATTTCACTGCTAGTAATCTCCTCACAAAGCTTCTGATTCTCCCCCTTTCTAAATATATTTCTAAGCCTCTCCCGAGTTGGTGTATTTCTTCTCCTGCATCAGACATTTTGTTTCCTGCTCCAATCCTCTTTTGTGCAGGACTTGCTTTTATTTTTATTTTCTCTCTTGCCTGATTCTCTTGGTTGTTGTGCAGTGCAGATTCTTTTTGCAGCAGTCATTGTTACCTAATCCGTTTCCAACCTGATCTTTGAATTCCAATCTCATTTCATTTCATTACACCAAAATTTTGAGTGTGTGTGACACTTTACATTTTTGGATTTTTAATTATTACTTGGTCATTGTTTATTTTTTTTAAAAAAAAAATACAATGCATAGTGCTAGTTCTAATATTTGTCCTCCTGTTCAATAAATATGATGCTGCACTGTACTTTCCACTGTACACTAATATGGCTTTCAGAGGCCAATAAAATATGCTCACATGGAAGGCCTATTGGTAAACCTTTTGGGGATCTATTCTGCTTGGGAGTTCATGAGCCCCCCAACCTGCCCTTTCATCTTATGCAACCACCACTGTTGCACACCCCGGACATGCATACATCCACAAACACCAGAAGCAAGGATTAGGCTTGGTCCCTGGCCCTATGGACATTTAATTTTCTATATGCCTATTTTTATACGGAGGAGTATTACCTCAAATGAACCTCAACCATCATTCTGAAGCCTGGTGATTCTCCCTCTCGCCCCCCTCCACCTGTACTTCCTCCCCCTCCATACCATGTTCAGATCATTTAGTGATCCTTATTCATTTTCTCTCTGTGTTTCAGATGAAATGTGGACAAGCTAATTGAAGCTGAATGCAGACAAGACAAAGGTAATGATGGTTGGCAGGGACAAGAAGGACACTCATTAGGGAGGATGTTCACACACCCTCAGGTCATCCAGGTGCATCGCTACGTGATGCTCCCAGAGTTATGAAGAGAGAGACATGCCCCACTCGCTCAGCTCCCTCCTTCAGCAGAGATGGTGGCAGAGTATTTCTCAGATGCATTGTACTTATGGGGAGGACTAACTTTCAGTGACTAGGATTAAGTGGTAGGGACTAATGTGTATTGCATGCTATCATATAGTATTTATATGTTATAGAGTACGATGCAGCTTTACCCAGATATTTTTTGAATGTTGCTACAATATCTAGTATCTCCTGTTACGAACCATCACAAAGCTTAAGGTCGTCAGGAGAGGCCCTGCTCTCGATCCCACCACTTTCGCAAACACAGTTTGTGGGGACGAGAGACAGGGCCTTCTCGGCAGTGCCCCCCCCGTCTGTGGAACTTTCGCCCTAAGGACATCAGGTTGGCCACCTCCCTCCTGTCCTTCAGAAAACAATTGAAGACTTGGTTTTGGGACCAGGCATCCAATTAGTGCACAGCGGCAACTGGAAAGAAACTTAGGATATCTGTGGCATTGGATTTACCCTAATTTGGATTTGGTTTTAATCGGCATGTTTAATTTATTGTTTAATTAACTGTACAATGTGTTTTAAATGATTTTTAATGTTTTAAATGTAATGTTTGATTGTTTATATGCTGATAGCATCAGATGATGCTTGTGTGAGGCCGCCCTGAGTCCCACTTGGGGGGAGAAGGGCGGAGTAGAAATGCATGAAATATATAAATAAATAAATACAATATTACAAAAAATGTATATGAAACTAGTATATAGCATATGTGGTCACCATTGCCCTGGTGTCACTGGGACCGCTGCCACTCTACTTTCTCCCTTCTCCAGCTCTGAGAGGGTCTAACTTGCAATATCTCCAAGACAACAATGGGCAGGCTTTTTATGGCTCTTTCCTTTCCCTTATACACACATCACCTCTTTTCCAGAAGGTTACCTCATCTAACAGCAGCCAATCCATCACGTTGCAACAGCCAATTCATTGACATCACAGAAGGCCACTTTACCTAGCAACAACCTTTGTGGTACAGACAGACAGACAAACAAACATACATATATACATACATACACACTTTTAATTTTATATGTGATCTTTTGCAAACAATACTTAACTGGAATCTCATCCTCAAATCTAAGAAGCCCTGCTTCCTATCCACAGATAATGGACCCCACTTGTTACAGATCATCTATATAAATAAAAAAATGTAATGTTCATTTGTGGGATTAACATAACTCAAAAACCACTGGATGAATTGTCACCAAATTAGGACGCTACAGCCCTAACAGACCAACAAGTGACCACCACTCATAAAAACACTGAAAAACACAGCAGAAGGGACTTAAAAAGCCAAAAAACAAAAAATACATTACAACACTGCACAAAACCACATATATACACAAACACACATATAAACATACACACACACACACATATAAGCACACAAAACACATATACACAGACTGGGCCACAGCAACGTGTGGAAGGGGACAGCTAGTTAATTAATAAGGAATACTTTGGCTATTTATCTTTTATTTCTTTGTTTTAAGCCAAATATTCCATATGAACAGAACCATCCCAGCTCAGAAACGGGCCAACTCTAGGGGGTTAAGATTTGGCAAAAGCCACTTCTTCCAATGGAAATATCTTTCTTTTGGGAGAACTGGAGAGATTGATGTATCAGCCCAACTATTCAAATGGCTTAAATCAGCTGGCAAAGGAGTCACGAGGGGCAGGAACAAAGAAGGAGTGGGAAGAGGGAGGTGCTGACTTATGCTAGAA